ATTGGCGATAAACGTGGAGAAGCAGCAGTTTACGGTAATTTGGGGATAATTTCTTGTCATCTTCAAGATTATGAAAAGGCTCAAGAATATTACAAGAAATCCCTTGCAATCCTTGAGGAAATTGGCTACAGAGATGGAGAAGCAGTCGAGTACGCAAATTTGGGGGCATGTTTCCACTCGCTTGACATGTATAAAGTGGCCGAAAAATACATCAAGAGGGCATTATTAATAAGCAAGAATATTGGACACAACTTGAATGAATTTAGGTGCCTTTGTCAACTAACGCTGTTGAAGCTATCACAATTTAATCTCAAAGAAGCCATCTCATATCTTTTTCAATGTATTGGAAAATTCGACACGTTGCGGGGTTTCCTTAAAGATAACGATCACTTTAAGACTTCTCTTCTAGAGGAGCACGGCAATTTTCCATACAAGTTGCTCAGCAAGTTGCTTTCTTCTTCTGGGAAGCCAAAAGACGCTCTCTATGTTGAGGAGCTGAGACGGGCAAGAGGCCTCACCGACTTCATGGCAGCCAAGTACTCCGTTGCAGAGTTGATCTCAGGCAACCCACAGTCATGGCATGGCATTCACAATATCATCACAAAAGAAACGGACTGTACGTGTCTTTATATTTCAGTTGAAAAAGAACATGCACGGTACTGGATTCTCGAAGCATCAGGAGCCGTTCATTTCTCACGAAAGAATGTGAGTCTGAAGAAACACGTGGTGAAAAAATTAGTTCCTGATTTGGATGAGTTTTTCACAGAAAGCTTTCGCAGTCTTGGCATTTTACCCCAACAGAATTGCGAAGATCGATCATTAGATGACACCGAATCGATGCCCCCTCATTATGACAATCGCGGGCTCATGCGTGATTATGATCCCAAAGATTTCAAAATGAATCTTCAGTCGTGTTACGAGATAATCATCGCTCCCATGGCCAATTTACTTAAAGAGCCCGAGATCATAATTGTCCCTGAATCCTGTATGTACCAAGTCCCGTTTGCAGCCATCAGTGATGAAGGAGGACACTATTTAGCGGATACTTTCAGGATCCGTGTCGTTCCCTCTCTGACGACTCTAAAGCTAATTCAGGACAGTTCCCCAGACTATCACAGTTAGAGAGGAGCACTGATAGTGGGTGATCCTGAGGTTGGCGAGGTGCTTTTGAAAGGAAAACGCAGGATTATAACATCATTGCCATGTGCAAGAAAAGAAGTAGAGATGATTGGACGACTTCTTGGAGTGACACCTTTGACTGGATACCGAGCAACAAAGGAGGCAGTTCTTGACGCAATAAACTCAGTAAGTCTGGTTCACTTTGCTGCCCATGGTGATGCCGAAAGAGGAGAGATTGCTCTTTCTCCTAATTGCCCCACCAATTTTATTCCACAAGACGAAAACTACCTTTTGACGATGGCGGACATTTCAAAACTTCGG